AGGAGGAGAGGAGGAGATGCGCGGCGCTGCGAATTCAATTAGCCTGGCGAAGGACCCAACCATATGCAGTTGAGAGTACCGCAATTGTGAATATCTTCTTCGGTGGCGCTCCCTATGGGGCCACGAGCCGTATGAGGGGTGTGCCGAAATGCGTGGCAGTGTACACAACACGAACGAAGACGATAGGTCCGAATATGAAAGCTTGAGCGCGTGCGAGTCGGATCGCGAGCGAGTCTGATTATGAATGAATCTGCGCGCGATTGATTCTATTCGCATGAATGCGTGCATGGATACGCCCAGTGTAAATGTATGTATACGACTGTGAACAGTTTGGGTCTGCGTGACTCTCGGTACTCGTGACTCTGAGCGTCGCCTCTGCAGGGGGCTTCCCTGGGAACCCCGACGGCAGCGCCCGCGCGCCGCGACGCCCATGTCGGCACGCCACACACCTGGTGTGCGGGACGCATGCGGACGGCAGCACTGGGGCCTTCGGTGGAGCTCCCTGTGGGGCCACGAAACGTGTGAGGGGTGTGCCGAAATGGGTGTGCGGGACGCATGCGGACGGCAGCCATGGGGCCTTCGGTGGAGCTCCCTGTGGGGCCACGAAACGTGTGAGGGGTGTGCCGAAATGGGTGTGCGGGACGCATGCGGACGGCAGCACTGGGGCCTTCGGTGGAGCTCCCTATGGGGCCACGAAACGTGTGAGGGGTGTGCCGAAATGGGTGTGCGGGACGCATGCGGACGGCAGCACTGGGGCCTTCGGTGGAGCTCCCTGTGGGGCCACGAAACGTGTGAGGGGTGTGCCGAAATGGGTGTGCGGGACGCATGCGGACGGCAGCACTGGGGCCTTCGGTGGAGCTCCCTATGGGGCCACGAAACGTGTGAGGGGTGTGCCGAAATGGGTGTGCGGGACGCATGCGGACGGCAGCCATGGGGCCTTCGGTGGAGCTCCCTATGGGGCCACGAAACGTGTGAGGGGTGTGCCGAAATGGGTGTGCGGGACGCATGCGGACGGCAGCACTGGGGCCTTCGGTGGAGCTCCCTGTGGGGCCACGAAACGTGTGAGGGGTGTGCCGAAATGGGTGTGCGGGACGCATGCGGACGGCAGCACTGGGGCCTTCGGTGGAGCTCCCTGTGGGGCCACGAAACGTGTGAGGGGTGTGCCGAAATGGGTGTGCGGGACGCATGCGGACGGCAGCCATGGGGCCTTCGGTGGAGCTCCCTATGGGGCCACGAAACGTGTGAGGGGTGTGCCGAAATGGGTGTGCGGGACGCATGCGGACGGCAGCACTGGGGCCTTCGGTGGAGCTCCCTGTGGGGCCACGAAACGTGTGAGGGGTGTGCCGAAATGGGTGTGGGGCCTTCGGTGGAGCGACGAAACGTGCCGAAATGGCGGGACGCATTGGGGCCTTCGGTGGAGCTCCCTATGGGGCCACGAAACGTGTGAGGGGTGTGCCGAAATGGGTGTGCGGGACGCATGCGGACGGCAGCACTGGGGCCTTCGGTGGAGCTCCCTGTGGGGCCACGAAACGTGTGAGGGGTGTGCCGAAATGGGTGTGCGGGACGCATGCGGACGGCAGCCATGGGGCCTTCGGTGGAGCTCCCTGTGGGGCCACGAAACGTGTGAGGGGTGTGCCGAAATGGGTGTGCGGGACGCATGCGGACGGCAGCATGGGGCCTTCGGTGGAGCTCCCTGTGGGGCCACGAAACGTGTGAGGGGTGTGCCGAAATGGGTGTGCGGGACGCATGCGGACGGCAGCCATGGGGCCTTCGGTGGAGCTCCCTATGGGGCCACGAAACGTGTGAGGGGTGTGCCGAAATGGGTGTGCGGGACGCATGCGGACGGCAGCACTGGGGCCTTCGGTGGAGCTCCCTGTGGGGCCACGAAACGTGTGAGGGGTGTGCCGAAATGGGTGTGCGGGACGCATGCGGACGGCAGCCATGGGGCCTTCGGTGGAGCTCCCTATGGGGCCACGAAACGCTGTACTGGGCGGGTGAAACGCAAGGAAGAGGGGGAGGAGGGAGGCGGAGGAGGAGGAAGGAGGAAGGAGACGCGGGGCACCGTCTCTTCAAAACGAGGACCCAACACCACAGGATGGTTGGGAAAAAGATGACCCAACTCACAGGGTGTACCGAAATAGGCGCGGTGGCACCACGCTGACCCTCCCACCGGGGCCTTTTGTTGAGGCCCTATGGGGCCACGAACCGTGTGCGGAGTGTGCCGAAATGAGCGCGGTTGCGCCACACGAGCCCTCTTACTGGAGCCTTCGGTGGGGTTCCCTGTGGCCTACGGGGCCACGAAACGTGTGAGGGGTGTGCCGAGAAGGGTGCGGTGGCGCTGCCACTGGTGGAGCTCCCTATGAGCTCCCTATGGGGCCCCGAAGCGTGTCAGCATTGCGCCGAAATGGGTGCGGTGGCGCCATGCGGACCCACCCACGGGGGCCTTTATAGTGGAGCTCCCGAGGGAGCCACGAAACAGGTGAGGGGCCCTGAGGTGCGTGCAGAAATGCGACTGACGATGATGTTGATGATACCGATAAGGCTGATGATGGTGATGCGGATGATGCTGATGCTGATGCTGATGCCGATGATGATGATGAGGAGGATGAGGAGGAGGTTACTGCTGCATGATGGTGGTGGTGCTAATGATATTGTAGATAATGATGGTGGTGATGATGATGCGGATGCTGATGAGTATGCTGGTGATGGTGGTGACAACACGAGCTACGATGCCGCCAGCGATGACGATGATGATGATAATGATGACGACGACGAAAATGACGACGATGATGATGATGTTGATGCTGATGGTGTTGTCGATGAGGATGGCAACGAACATGATGGTGGTGTTGATGATGTTGTTGACGATGCTGAGTATGTTGACGGTGATGATTGAGATGTTGTTGATGATGCTGATGATGACGCTGATGATGTTGATGATGCTGATGCTGATATGATACTTGCGATGCTGAGGAGGAGTATGCTGCTGCTGCTGATGGCGCCGACGAAGATGATGATGATGATGACGATGATGATGATGATGATGATGATGATGGTGGTGATGCTGATGATGCTGATGATGCTGCTGATGATGATGGTGATAACGATGACGATGTCGGAGATGATGATGATGGATGGATGGGGATGCTGATGATGATGGTATAATGATGCTGCTGCTGCTGATGATGATGGTAGTGATGATGATGCTGCTGATGAGGATGCCGCTGATGCTGCTGATGCTGCTGCTGATGATGGTGACGATGATGAGGATGATGATGATGATGATGATGATGATGATGATGATGATGATGATGATGATGAGGATGTCGATTACGACGGAGAGAGAGGATGGGGAGGAGGTGAGGAGAAGGAGTCACGCGGTGCATTGCTAATTCAACACGCGGTCCCAACACCACAACATGGCTGGGAAAAAAACGCACTACGATGTACACGGCCATGCTCTGCACTCACTCCTGTCACACGGCCATGCCCCATTGTACAAAATACACCACGGCGCTGCCTTGTTCTCACCCCGGTCACACGGCCACGATCCACTGTCAACGAAACACTACGGTGCACAGGGCCGCACTCTCACCCCTGCCACGCCTGGGATTCCCTAAGAAAGACCCAGGCGTTCGCGTTGTCGCTGGCAGACCTCCAACTCCTGCTGCTACTGAGGGTGATTTGCTGGGGTGGCTCTTCGCAGAGTCCTCCGCATAGTAGGCAGTCCCCGCCATCGATTCCGCGACATCCGTCGGCATCCAATACATGAAGGCGTTGGGCAGCAGGGCCGTCAGCACCTCAGAAGCACCCCTTCGATTCCGGCCGATCTGGGGCCCGACCCGGATCCTGATCTGGCGGTCCCAATCCGGACTCCAATCCGCATCCAGAGGATTGGAGCATTAGGATCCAGACAGACCCGAGCCGCGGAGCGGCGTCTTCTACAGGGGAACGAAGAATGACAGAAGCATGACAACTCGGAGGTCCGTGCGGATTTTTCGGATCCGCGCTGGACCCCCCTCCCTGGCGCGCGGAGCGCGCCAGGGGCGGCGCCGGAGGCGCCGCCATAGGGAGCCCCAGCGCCGATGCGAGAACTCCGCGCGGACCTCCGAGGTTTTATGTTTATGCCATTCATTGGTTCCCCTATTTCCTAGGGCTCCCAACTTCGCGCTTCGCGCTGCTCGAAGCGCGAAGCGTGAATAACTTCGCGCCCTCGCGCCGCCCCCACAAGGGAGAAACAGAGGACGAGGAGGAGGGGGAGAAGGAACGAGGACCGCGAAGCGCGATGCGCGAACAGCTTCGCGCTCTCGTGGGAGCCCTCGTATTTCTGAGGCCAGCGCCCACAGGAGGGGTATCACCACCAGGGCCAGGCTCAGCGCCGCGGCCAGCCGCGCCGCCCGCTGCCGCCGCAGCTGGCCCTCCAGCGAGCGCGGCGGGTCGGCCGCGGGGGCCTGCAGGTCCCCAGCACCGGCGGCGGGCCCAGGGTTAGGTCGGGCGTGTCCTCCTACAGGCGGGTTTCGGACGAAGAGTCAAAGATATGTTTCGAAAGATGCTCAAAGATAGTCAAAAGTAGTCGAAGAATCGTCCCCAGGCCATTGTTTGACTATCTTTGAATCTTCCTCCCGCAGGGGGAGAGGCCCAACTTTTAAGCCCAGGGGCAAAAGTATCGGGGTCTTCGGGCTCTACGATCAAGGCTTTCGGGCGTCGTCGTCGATTCTCGGCGGTGGTCCAGCCTCGGGATGCGTTCCAGCGGCTGCGCCTCGCCGAGAGCGCTCCAGGGGTGCCCGCATCGTCCCGCGCTCGGCCGAGACCCGAGCCATGACCCGAAAACCGCCAGGCGTCCGTGATGGGGCAGGCCAGGGCGAGGAGTGCGCGCAAGGAGGAGGACGAGGAGGAGGAGGAGGAGGAGGAGGAGGAGGAGGAGGAGGAGGAGGAGGAGGAGAGGCTTGCAGGGCCTCTCAGGAGGCGCCAGGGCTTCCGAAGCCCCCCCGCGTTCCGAGGAGCCCTGGCGCCTCTCACTCCACCCCTGGGCTTAGGTCGGGCGTGTCCCCCTACAGGCGGTTTTTGGGCGATGAATCCCCCCCCCCCCCCCGAAAAAAACAACCCAAACTTGTCAAAACATCGTCCCCATACTATTTTGAAAATTCCCCCAACTACCCAAAAAATATTCAAAAATGGTCGAACATGGTAAACAAATCGTCCCCGCACGATTTTTGGACTATTTTTGAAATATTCCCCCGGTAAAGGGACAGGCCCGACTCACCCCTGGGCCCGCCGCCGACGGCATGCTGCGGCGGGTTCGCGTCGTGACCGGCTGCGGAGAGGTGGCCTCGACACCGCGCGGATCGCTCCACCTTGGAGCAGGGACCGACCGTCCCGGCATCTCTATAGGCCTGCCACGACATTTCTGAGAACCCAGCAATGTTCTAAGAATCCTCCCTCCTCCTCCTCCCTCCTCCTCCTCCTCCTCCTCCTCCTCTCCTCCTCTTCCTCCTCCTCCTCCTCCTCCTCCTCATCCTCCTCTTCATCCTCCTCCTCCTCCTCCGCCTCCCTCGTCCTCCTCCTCCTCCTCCTCCTTCTCCTCCTCCTCCTCCTCCTCCTCGTCCTCCTCCTAAGACCAAATTAACAATGCTCTTAGAACAGAAGCCCGATGTGCTGAAACGAATCAGATCCAGCCAGAAACGTTCTAAAGAACATCTCGTGGAAGCCGCGACAAGGTTCTCAGAGCATTGCCTGGCAGGCCCACAGGCACGCCAGGGCGCTTCGCCGCTGCTTGACACCTCGGACGATCGGCCGGCCTCCCAGCCGCCAGGAGCGCCCCGCCCTGGCAGAATCCGGGCCGCCCGTCGCGCTCCCGCCCTTCGAATACGGTGTGGGCAGTGGACGAGGAGCCCTCAGACAAGGTATCCGGGGTCTGGAAGCCAGTGGAGCTCCAAGCGCGGATCGGCCACATTGGATAAGGAACCCTCCAGGGTCTGGCGCCTCCTGGGACTATCCCTTAACAAAGCCTCCACCGTGTGGGATCGACTGCAGACTTGAGTTGCACCAGAATTCTTTCATGCGTCGAGTCTGCGAGACGATGTGCAGAAGCGTTCGTAGATTTACGAACACTCTGCGCAATCGCCATCGGTTCGGCGAAGAATTAATAGTGGGTGGGTCGAATCAATTTAGTAATCGATATCCTACCCGAAACTTATGTTGCTCCCATCGTACTGAAACACCACATCCCAGAAACAAGTTCGAGCACCCGGAAAAGTGTCGAAAGAGTGCCGAAACAGTGTCGGACAAGTGTCTCCCAGGGCCCGAAATGTGACAACCCTCGAGTTTCGGTGCTCTCCCTGGTGCTCGAAAGTCTTCCTGGTGAGCAAGGCTAAGTTAGGTTGGAGCATCATAGCTGTAGTCGATCTCCTACCCGAAACCTTGAACACCCGCGCTTGGGTCGCCACCGCGTCGACGACGACGCTAGCCTGCCGCAGTCAGCCCGAGGGCTCGGGCCTTCCAGGTCCTGGGAGGGCGCCTCCGATGCCGAGCGAGGTGCTTCGGCAGGGCGCCCAGAGTCCTCCTCCTCCTTCTCCGTCTCCTTTTCCTTTTCCAATTCCTCCTCCTCCTCCTCCTCCTCCTCCTCTTCCTTCTCCGTCTCGTGTTCCTCGTCCTCTTCCTCCTCCTCCTCATCCTCCTGCTTTTCCTTGTCCTTCTCCTTCTCCTTCCTCTTTTCCTTTTCCTCTTCCTCCTCCTTTTCCTTTTCCTTTTCTTATTTCTCTTTCTCTTCCTCTTTCTCTTCCTTTTCCTCCTCCTCCTTCTCCTCTTTCTTTTCCTGTTCCTCTTCCTCTTCCTCTCCCTCCTCCTTCTCCTCCTTTCCCTGTTCCTGTTCCTTCTCCGTTTCCTCTTCCTCCTCCTCCTCACCCCTTTCCTCCATTATATCCGACCGAACCCCGTCCGAATTCCAGGAGCTGGGGAGGCAGACCCCTTCGGGGCTGGAGCCTGGCCCGCGAGCACGCGCTTCGCGAGGATGGTCACGAACACGACCGTGAACCCCGCGCCCAACCTTATGTTGCTCCCATCGTACTGAAGCACCACATCCCAGAAACAAGTTCGAGCACCCGGAAAAGTGTCGAAGGAGTGCCGAAACAGTGTCGGACAAGTGTCTCCCAGGGCCCGACACGTGACAACCCTCGAGTTTCGGCACTTGCATGGTGCTCGAAAGTCTTTCTGGTGAGCAAGGCTAAAGTAGGTTGGAACACCCTAAGCCAAACCAGAAGATCCACAGCCCAGGGCCACCGAGGACCGTCCCGCCACCGTGGTCGACCCCGGTGCACCCCAGGATGCCGCAGGAGAGCACGGGCCAGCACAGATGAGCACCGATCCTGGGGGGGGGTAAGTAATGAAGGGACCCAGGGACACACAAATAAATACACAATAACCCCAGGATTCCCCATAGTATCCCACATTTGCTGGGCTTCCGTCTTCGCCCCCCCCACTTCTCATATCTTCCCATATTTTTTTGGATGTCGACGATCAGCTGTGTCTGTGTGTTTCTCCCCTCCTGAAATGAAGTGCCGATATCGCCACTCCCAGGACCTCCACTGGGGTGCGTTCTGACCAGGTTCCGAGGATACTGCTGCCGAGGCCAGGAGGGCCCTGCAGTACCTCCTCCTCCCCCGAGATCCCCGTCGCGACGCAGGAGCCGGCCACGAGCAGGCAGAGCCAGCCGACCTTGACGCCCTCGGAGATGCTGCCGCTGGGCTGCGAGAGCATCAACCCCGTGGCGGTCAGCGTCGCGACACCGGCGACCGGGGCAAGGTAGAGCGCGGCAGCGAGGCCTATGACGTGGATCTGGCCAAACCCCGCCTCGAAGACGTAGCCAGGACCAGGACAGAATCGGACCAGGACAAATCGGGGATCTCTGAGATCCCGCGGTTCTAGAAGATGTATCGGGCGCCACGGCTGGCCCAGAGCGCTCTGGAACGCCCTGAAGGCGTTCTGGACTGCACTGGGGCAATATATCCTAGTCCTGATCCCGCCCGAGCCTCCCCAGCCATGCCGTCACTCGTGTCGCCGGTCACGTAGTCGCACTCGACAAAGATCTGCCAGCTCATGATACCCAGCACGAGCGAGCAGAGCGCCAACAGGAAAAGGTTCAGGACGGCCGAGTTAATGTCCCTGGTGGCCTTGGGCTTCCAAGTCTCTTGGCTCTTGGGCCAGCGCATGTAGAGGATCGTCGCTACGGGGGACGCAAGTATCTGGGTGAACCAGAATATACCGATACCGCTACTCCCCCAGCCTCTCCCAGAGCACGTTCTGACCAAAAGTTCGAGGCGAATCCAGCCGTGGCGACGAGGGCCTCCCAGGAGGCACCACAAAGGCGAAACCGAGGGGAAAGTAGCGGTATCGGAACCTTTTACCCCTCTGAGTACCACCGCGGTGACGAACATCGCACCGAAGAACTCGGCTGCAGTCTCCGCATAGTGGTAGTCCTCGTGCGACCGCGTCGCGTTGAGGTTTACCAGGACAGCAGGAGTGGACTGCAGGAGCAGGACGGGGGCGACGTCATCTCCGTGGCACGACTCCTTCAGCTCTTCCGAGTGCAACTTCTGCTGCATGCCGCGGACGAACTCCTGCTGTTCTGCGTTCAGCACATCCTGCATCCGCGGGGAATCGGAAGGGGCTCTGCCATGAGCAAGAGGGCAGAAGGGGTCCTGAAGCAAGCGGGTCCTGGACCCCCGTGGCTTCCTTGGGGAGAAGGAAAAGCGATACCACCACCACCACCATCACCACCATCACCACCACCACCACAAGGGACCACCAGCAGGAGGAGCCAGGGGGGGGGACTCCTTGTGGTGTGCCCCCCCCCCCCGCTCTCGCTCGAGACATCCCCGAATTATCCCCAGCTCAGGGGAGGCATCGTGGACCCCCTCACTGGAGGCGGTCCCCCTGGTGGTGGAAGTGGTGGTGGTGGTGGTGGTGGTGGTGGTGGTGGTGGTGGTGGTGTCGCTGCGCCTTCTCCCGAAGTTTCCCGGCCCAGCTTCTCATCCGAGCCGAGTTCTGACGTTCCCGAGTCCCCGGGTGGGCCTCGCGGGCCAGAAGAAGTACGCCTTTCCCTTGGGACTCTCTTGGCTCATGGCGAGTGGGGCCGGGGAACAAGGATGGCCAGAGGAGGGACGAATCGGCGGCGAGCCTGGGGGGAACGTGCGAGGAGGCGGGCCTTCTCGGACGGCTCAGAAGGCCGCGGGCCTTGTGAGAAGTGTTCTAAGCCTTCCCCGAAGACGCAGGAAACTTCTCACAAGGCGCGAGGGCTTCTGAGAAGCGAAGGCCCGCCCCCTCTCACTTCCCCTGGGAGGCTGAGAGCATGCTGGGAGAAGGGCGAAAAGTCTGTGTCGGAAGCGTCCGACGCCTTCTCGCTGGAGCTCCTGCAGGGCGCAGGGAACTTCGCCCTCGCAGCTTGTTGGCCCCCAAGGGGGCTGGCGGTTTGCCGACGAGCTGCCCCATTGGTCCCGACCCAGCCCACTTCCCGGGTGTGATTTTTCGTCCCGGCCTCGCCTTTGGTGGCGCAAGGGAGCCCCAAAGAGGCCGAAGTCAAGGAAAACCGCTGGAACTGAACAAAAGCCACGTCGCCGGAAGGACGGGAAAGCACGTGCACCGATCCCGGCGCTCGGATGGGCCTGGCCAAACCCTGGCATTCCCCGAAACGGGCACGGCAACCATGGAAACGACGGCCAACAGCAAACGCTGCTTCAAACCAACAGCGGCCGCTGTTGGGCAGGCGGCAACTTTGGCATCACATGGACCACATACGCGGCGGCACCGACAGCGAGCCCTGTCCAAAACGGACAGGAACTGCAAGTGGTCCTCGTCCCCATTCCGTCCGTGCCCATCTCGGTCTCGGCTGCACGCAGGAGTGACCCTGAGCAGGAGCGACCTGTGGTGCGCGGCTGTGTGGGGCCCGCGGGGGGACCAGGCACAAGCGCGCAAGACGCTACCATCGCATCGCGCTCGGCGATCGGGGGGCCCAAAGATCCGATGTCGTGATTTGTTCAATGCGGGGTCCCCGGAAATCTCGACCCATTCCCCAAGACCGGTTTTTCGTCCTGGGTCGTTTTTTGACGGTCCGGGGCCTGGCGAGGGCCCCTCGAGGCCAAAAAACACGAAAACCCTACGTCTAGATTTTTTCAATACGTGGATCTCTGGGGGGCCCAATGGGCCCGCACCAAAAGTCACTCCGGCGAAGGGCCACTCTTACGTGCAATCGACGGCCGCACCCAAGCGGCGAGGCCGATCCAGGACCCCACTTCGTCTACAGGGCGCCGCGCCTCCCCCACGGCTCTGCACCAGCATCCCCGCCCCCCCCGAGGAGCAGTCCGCCGCCGGGCCGCCGAGCTTCCAGCGGGGGGGCCTGAATTTTCCTCCGCTTCTGATGTTCCAACCTGCTTCTGCTTCAGCCTTGATCACCAGAAAGGTTTTCGAGCACCAGAACAGTACCCCCAAACTCAAAGGTCGTCACGTGTCGGGCCCTGGTAGGCACTCGACCCGACTCTGTTTCGACACTTTTTCGACACTCTTCCGGGTGCTCGAAATTATTTCTGGGATGCGGTCCTGAAGTAAGATGGGAGCAACATAATCCTCCGCTCTCCCTCGGAGTCTTCCGGATCCCCCCGACCATTGCGGCACACCACGTCACGCGGACCGGATCGCACCCACGAGGAGCACCACCCAAAAGCCCAGAGACAAGGCTCGTACAACACATCATCATCATCATCATCATCATCATCATCATCATCATCATCATCATCATCATCATCATCATCATTATCGTCGTCATCAGCATCATCGTCATCATCATCATCGTCATCATCATCATCATAATCATCATCGTCATCATCATCACCATCATCATCATAATGTAATCATCATCGTCATCATCATCGTCATCATCATCATTATCATCGTCATAATCATCGTCATCAGCATCATCATCATCATCATCGTCATCACCATCATCATCAGCATCGTCATCATCATCATCGTCATTATCGTCATCATCATCATCATCGTCGTCGTCGTCGTCGTCATCATCATCATTATCATCATCATCGTCATCATCATCATCATCATCGTCATCATCATCATCGTCATCATCATCATCGTCATCATCATCGTCATCGTCATCATCATCATCATCATCATCATCATCATCTCCATCATCATCATCATCATCATCGCCATCATCATCATCATCATCATCGCCATCATCATCATCATCATCATCATCGCCATCATCATCATCATCATCATCGCCATCATCATCATCATCGCCATGATCATCATCATCATCATCACCATCACCATCATCATCATCATCGTCATCATCATCATCATTGCCATCATCATCATCATCATCATCATCATCATCATCGCCATCATCATCATCATCATCATCATCGCCATCATCATCATCATCATCATCATCATCACCGCCATCATCATCATCATCATCATCATCATCATCATCATCATCGCCATCGCCATCATCATCAATATTCCCGCCCGTGTCGGCCCACTTGTCACGCGAATCGTGCCCCAGAAGGAGCTCCACCTGTGGCACCCACGGACAGCTTTGCACGGCGACCCACGCCCACTTCGGGGGCATGCCTCGCACGGGGCGTGCCCCGAGGAGGCCCGCCTGCGGTCTCAGTGGGCGTGTTCGCGCGGCCCTTCACGCGGATCGCGCCCCACTAAAAGTTCAACGCACACGTGCACGCGCGCTCCGCAGCAACCATATTTCCGCATTGCCCCGTGGCGTGCAGTGTATGAAGGGGGACCCGCGCCCTGCACTACACATGACTGCATAAGGATGGGTCTGTCGATTGTTTAGCAATGGCCTCTGGCCTATACCGCTACGGTGCCTGAGTTTAGGGCAACCAGATTCTTGGACACCCTGAAAGGCGGTGTCTTTTGTCATGCTTCCCGGGCGCCTCATGGAGCGAGATTTGACGCTTCATGTGGGCCCTGAGGGGCAGCTTCGGGAACTTCTCGTGAGTCCCCAGAGGCGGCTTCTCGTGAGGCCCAAACAAATTCTCGGGAGGCCCAAGACGCCTCGCGGGAAACCCAGAAGGCCTCTCGGGAGACCCAAAACGCTTCTCGGGAAGCCCAAGACGCCTCTCGGAAGGCCCAACACGCCTCCCGTAAGGCCCAAGACGCCTGTCGGGAGGCCCAAACTAGTTTTTCGGGAGGCTCCAGTAGCCTCTCGGGGGACCCACGACGCCTTCGGGAGGCCCAAGACGCCTCTCGGGAAGGCCAGAACGCCCCTCGGGAAGATCAAAACACCTCTCGGGCGGCCCAAAACGCTTCTCGAGAGGCCCAAGACGCCTCTCGGTAAGGCCAAGACGCCTCCCGGGAAGCCCAAGACGCCTCTCGGGAGGCCCAAAGCGCCTCTCGGGATGGCCAAAGTGGGGGAGAGGAGGAGGGGGAGGAGGGGAAGAGGATGAAAGGAGGAGAGGCGGGAAGGAGGCGCGGGGCGCTCTCTTCAAAACGAGGACCCAACACCACAGGATGGTTGGGAACACGTGGTAGAACCAGGCGGGCAGCTCGGGTGGGCAGACCCATAGCGGGCGGGTCGGGAAGGCGGGCCCAGGCGGCCAGGTCGAGCAGGCGGGTTGCTGAAGCGTGCGTTCTGCATGAATCGCGAGGGAGTCTCGAGCGATAGCGCGATTCCCAAGTCCATCGTGAGAGAGGTCAAAGCGAGAGCGTGATTCCTGAGCGCCGAGGGCGCATCGTCTCAATAATTGCGAGGAGGTCCCACGCGAGAGGGCAATTCCTACAGAAAATGTGACGAAGTCCCCCGCGGGAGCGCGATTCCTCAATACATTGTGAAGAAATGTCAGGCGGGAGCCGTTGTTGTTGTTGTTGTGAAAAATCCACCGACCCTGTCGGCGTGTGGGAGATGCTTGTCCGTTCGTCGTGAACGTCGTCGTCGTCGTCGTCGTCGTCGTCGCCGTCGTCGTCGTCGTCGTCGCCGTCGCCGTCGTCGTCGTCGTCGATGCTCTTCCGTTCGTCGTCGTCGTCGTCGTCGTCGTCGTCGCCCTCCCCTCAGGCGCGCCAGCCAAAGCGAAACCAAAGCGAAATCGAGCAACGTCGTAGCTGAGTCGAAGGGAAGCCCCTTCCCTTTGATCCCTTCCCCGCCGGGGAGGGGGGGGTCCCGGGGGGGGGGGGGGGGGGCAGATACGCATCCCCCCCGGGATGTCCCGGGACCTAGAAAATTCCCCAGACTGGCCAAGAGTGCCCCAAGAATCGCCGAACAATCGGTCGAAGACGCCAAAGTAGCCTCCAGACGGCCCAAGAGATTGCCAAGACGCTCCAAGAAGTCTCCAAGAGCACTCCCAAGAGGGCACGAAGAGGGAAACATCAATGATTTCCTTACAGTTTTTGACAGATGTTGGCGTTCTCGCCGTTTCAACTTGTCGACGCTCCAAGACGGCCCCAGATGCCCCCAAGATTGCCCCAAGATAGCCCAAGAGGCCTCAAGAGAGCCCCAAAATGACCCAAGACAGCCTCAAGACCGCCCAAGATGCCTCCAAGATGGCCCCAGAGGCTCCCCAAACGGCTCCAACAGGGTGCCCGGACGGGGGGCCCGACGAGCCCTCGG